AAGAAATTTTAAATGTTTTTCTACAAGTCTAATTTTTGTTTAATCCAGTACATTTGACACTTTCTTAGTTTCCCCAACTGTTTTTTGTAGAACGATGTTTTGAAAAGTCTGGATTAACATTTTTTTTTAATTTAAGCATTTCTTTAAAAAAAAATTAATATTTTTTTGCAAGTCTAGAAATTTTTTAATCCAGTACATCTGACACTTTCTTAGTCTCCCCAACTGTCTTTTGTAGCACGATGTTTTGAAAAGTGTTGATTTTATTTTTATTTTTATTTTTATTTTATTTTATTTTTTTATTCTAAAACCGTAGGTAATATGTGGGTGCACTTATAATAGAAAATGTATTTACTGATGCAAAAAATTGGCATTTTAATTTGAAAATCATTTTTGTATCTTTTAATAATAATTTATTTTTAGTTACACTTGATAAAAATCGTGAAACACGTTATGTGTACAAATTTTTAATGTTATTTTAGATTATATTAAAAATATAGGGGTATAGGACTTATTTACAGAATACCTATGTCAAGCTAGGATAGAAACACAGATTGGATATTTGAAGCATTTAATAAAATTTTAATTTTGTAATGTTAGAAAATGCTGAGAAAATTTGTGATATGAAGAATAACAACGAAAAACCAGTCATCTTCATAAAAATAATATTACTTCCTATTTGTTAAATAGGTATTAAATTAGTACTTAAGAAAACAAAATTTAAAAGAATACAACACTACCTGCTTTCTGTTTGTTTGTTGATAGATTTGCAACAAACTTTATTTGGAACTACACCTTTTTATTCTGTACGAAAAAAAAATGTGCAGAATGGGTTTTCAATTTTGATATGTAATTAATATTGTTCTCGCATAAAAAACGTAATATTTTTTCATAATAAATCTCATCTCTAACTTGTGATTTGTAGTTTGTACCGAGTGACTTCCATCATCTTATTTGAATTCAAATGTACTAAAGTACTTTCTAAGAAATGTGTTATAACAGGATTTATTTAAAAGTAATGTAGTCTGTATGAATGCAAGATTAAGCTTGAACTTGTAACTATGATAAGAGAAAATGGTCAAGGTTACTTAATTTTAGCTTTAAAACATTTAATTGCAATTCATGATACAACTTTTTTGTTTCTGCTTTTAATAGCCTGCAGCAAAAATCTTGTAACGTTATTTTTCCAATAGAAATTGGAAAATTTAAACCTCCTTAATTTTGAAATTTTTATAGATAGAATTTTGGTACAAAATAATATATTATTTAACAAAATTGGATTAGAAATTTTTCAAAATACAAAAATTATTAAAAAGAAGAGTATTTTATGTACTTATATAATTATTTTTTTGAGTGGATTTAGATTTTGTGAGTCAAATTTAAACTCAGTATGCATTTACTCTTCTTTCTGCCATTATAATCTTATTGTTGTATGATATTGAAAGAAAACAATGTTGTATTTGTTTTTCACATACCGACTTATCTCAAACATTCGATTATTGCTCAACCGTAGAGTCTACGAGAGAAATGTTGCAATAAATGATTAATTTTTTTGTTATTTTTTAATAATAAGTACTATTTTTTATCGCGGTGGTTTGTATGTTAATAATTTTATTTGTTTCTGACAGAAATAATATAAAAAATTATTATACTTATAGTTAATAAGTACTTTCAACAAATATTTACAGAAATGGTAAACAGCATAAGCGTAAATTATATAATGTCCTTGCTCCAGTGATATCAAAAGACATCGATTTCTTAAATCAGGAAATATTTATGTTATTGTTTGATTTGGTTTTGTTTTATTACAAAAATTGTCTCAGATTCTTTTGACACACGCAATTCTTTACGTTTCTTTGTTTTGAAAATACTGAATACGAAAACGTTTATAATTTTTCAATTAAAATTGTGGTATTTTATAACAATAATTTAGTTGTTGTCATAAATATGTTTAAAATGTAATACTATTTTAATTTATTTTCAACTATGCCAAATGCTAAATTACGACAACAAACTTGACGATAATTATAGATTAAAAATATGTAATCTGTAATTTTTGAATAATGTTAATTAAATGTTAATTTGGTAAACAGTATGTTTATACAAAATCAATTAGGTAAATACAAAATAACATGCTCTGACATCAATTCCGATATCACTTAAATTATAAAATTAAACAATGAGTTTAATTTTTTATAAGTCAAAGCAAATACGTATTTTTCACATTAATTTTCTGTTTAAGCCAATATTGTTTTTAAAATTTCATTTTATATTTGTACTTTATTTAATGTGAAATTGTATGAAATTTATTTTTTTCATAAACATAAATAATTGTTATACGAGCTTTGTGTTATTTGTAATCAAATTTATGTGCTTATTAGTCATCATCAGTCATCAGGTTTAATACTTTATAACATGATTTTTTTATAATTTTACCAAATAGGTCATCTAATAAAAACTTACTTTTTTCCATTTTAAATCTATTCGGGTACCACCAGAAAAAGTCTTGCTCACAACTGAAATTTTTTTTCATCTTACTGAATACAATTATGTCGGTTTAGATAACAATTTAAACAAAAATGTTTTGTTGGAAAAGACAACTTTATTATTTCAGTTACAATAGAGTGTATTGTCAGGGGGTCAGAAAAAAACGAATTCTATTTAAACGCTCACATCTCCAGGACGCTTTTTAATATTGAGATTTTAGTTTTTGACAATAAATAGATTAAAAATAATGATTGCTGTATTAAAGAAAATATTTTAAAAACCAAAAAAATAACACATTTTTAATATCAACGTTATTAACTAAAGATTGCGTCAAGAAATTTTTTCTAGTTCAAAAATTTGCCATTCTTTAGTTTTTTGATATTAATATTTATAATTTGACAGGTAAAATTTTCAGTTTATTTTTTTTTATATACAAAAATTGAAGTGACTATCTCAAAGTGTTGAGGACTTAAACAAGATTCGTTCTTTTCTAACCAATCGATAAATTGTAAAGTTGTAAACAAAAGCACACTGTTTCTTCTTACTCGTTGATATGCAAAAATGCAAAAAGTCTTGTCACTTAAAATGAAGAAGACCGCTTTTTATTGATCATTAAACTTGTGGAGTCTCTTTTGAAGTGTAGCTTTACGGAACTTGATTTCCAAGCTGCTGACGTGTTTTTTTCAAGGAGTCGACATATTTTAATGCTAACTTCAAACATTTTATTCATTCGGAATAACTTTAACTACTATTGAAGCACATTATATCGAAGGAATGATTTTTATTATATTACTCCAAAAAATTAAAGGAACAAAAAATCTCCCAATTTTTAAAAGGCTGTAACTCATCGAAAAATGGTCGTATCTAGATTTAAAAAAAACATTTTGAAGCTTTAAGTTTCTAGTTTTGAGATCTTTTGGCAAATATTTCTTTGTGCTACGGTTATCACGCAATTCTAAGTAATAGCGCAAAAAAATCTAAATTTTTATGGCTTTGTTTCTGGTCCACGGCCATTTTTTTTTTTTTAGTTAAGTCAATGCATAGGCCGGATGACATGTTTGTTGACTTTTAATATTCTTTTTTCTTATTTCCTTTACGTTAATTTGTCTCTGAGATATCTGACTTTAAATGAAAAAGGATCATCCTGTCTTTGATCACCGATATCTCAGCAACCAATGTCCACACAGAGAATATAAGAGTAGTGTCAAAAACTGGAATAAATGTCTTATAAAATCCTTTTATGATTTTTCGAAAAATGATTTTTTTTCTCTTTTTGATTTAAAGAAAAAAGAAAAAAGTAACTTTTTACGTTGTTTTAGTAAATCTACCGCGAATTTACTAATATTGAAGGCGAAACTAATGTTTTTACAGCTTAAAGTATCCCCCACAGCCCTGTAAATTTTTAAAACGATTCTTCAAACCGATTTCTCGGACCAATTGATCAAAGTTTTGCAAGAAAAGTAAAGGAACAATTGCACATATTGTTTCAGAACATTGGCCAATCTTCATCAAAATGAAAAAAACAATTTTTTGACCTGTTTACAATTTTGCATTAGTTATTTGCTAAAAATAAAAAAAATTAACAAAATTTGTTTTTTGATTATTTTTCTGAAAACTTGTAAAAACATTTAAGAAATAATGAATTGCTTAATTTTTGAAAAAAAAATTCCAAAAAAATTTTTGATTTTTTTAAAATTTGTAAAAAAATTCAAGAAACAATAGTGATTAATTTTTGAAAAAAAATTTTTAATATTTTTTTCGAATTTTTTTTTTCAAATTTAACTAATGCAAAKMTGTAAAAYAA